ATAGTATATATAAAACTGTCTGCTACTGTAAAAGGCTTTCTCATGATATTAGAAGAATTCTTTAAATAATTAATTATTAGAACCTCTCTGCAGGATACTAATTTAAATTACAGAGTAGTTGGTCCACACCTGCTTGAGATTGGCACAAATTAAACGGAAACTCTATTATTAATCCGAATTCAATTCATTTATTAACGAGGTCGATATCAAATGGGCCAGGCCCTCATTAGCATGCATGGAAGGAAAGCTACAGTGCAACCTGCCCTCGTCGTATAATTTTGGTAGTTGTTATTTTCCTTTTCTTTCCTTTCTTGGACGGTTGTATATACTAGTGTTTTATGCCCCATAAAATCATCGATAAATTGCATCATTTTTAGCTCCAATTTAACAACATATATTTCACCCACCAAACAAAAAAAATACTACTTACTCCCTCCGTTTCATATTAATTGTCATTCTACGCTTAATTTTTGTTTTGTATTTTCAATGCACATTTATTATTAATTTTTCTATTGTTATCCTTATTTTTTAGCTTATTAAATTACACATATCAAATAAAACAGTATATTAATTACGGTAAAACAAAAAAAAATTAATTTTTTTTTTTTAATTTGTGAGAAAAAATATAGATGGAGAACTAAATTGAAAAGGAGGAAGTCTGAAACCCAAATGATTGGCCTTTTATAAATACACAACATAAACAGGGAAGGGATGGTTGGATGTACATCATTAAACAAAGGATCAGATCAGTTGGATGATATACTGACCACGTCCACGTAAGCAAATACCAATTTCCAAGAAGCTCCTTACTCTTTTTATACATTGTGCGACTTCTCATTCCAAATCTCTCTATTTTCTCAAATATTCCCAAAACTTTTTTGTCTGTTATTTACGACTAATTTATCAAACCTCTCTCTTTCTCCAAGCTATAATATTCAACTCATTTATTCAGGCTTAAATGCGATCGTCCATTTCTCCCTCATGATGTTGAACCTCGTTACTTTTCTCCGTCGCCGTCTCCGCCGTCCCAGGAAGGCCAGAATCTCCGTCAACCACCACCGCTCCGGCGATGAGTCCACAGCTGCAGGTAACAATGGGTTTTCTTCGGCAGCTGCCATCCACCCGAACCCCGAGAAAGCCATCCGAGTGGCCACCTTTAACGCTGCTATGTTCTCCATGGCTCCGGCCGTCCCCGACAACAGAGACTTTACCGGTTTGCCACTCCGGCCCAAGTCAACCGTTGACCTCCCCAAGAGCATACTCAAGCAGTCTCCCCTTCACCCCATGATGAACGCCAATCCAGCCTCAAGAAAACAGATGAAATTTGCCAAGTCGAGGCTAAGGGTCTCCATCAATCTCCCCGACAACGAGATTAGTCGCCAGCTCAGTTTCCGGGAGGATCCACAGCACTCTCCTCTCAGGCCAGCTCTGTCTTTCTCCGGCGAGATCGGTCTCCGGAGTACCAGAACGGTTCTTGAAGTGCTGAGGGAGCTAGACGCAGACGTACTGGCTCTTCAGGACGTGAAGGCCGACGAGGCTGACCAAATGCGACCGCTCTCGGATCTTGCGGCGGCTCTCGGCATGAACTACGTCTTCGCCGAGAGCTGGGCGCCGGAGTACGGAAACGCCGTTCTCTCTAAGTGGCCCATCAAGAACTCCAATGTCCACAAGATCTTTGACCACACTGATTTCAGGTTAGTCACTGATTCAAACTTAATTATAACTACTCTGCTTTTTCATTTTAAGTTTTTTAAGGTTATTAGTTACCATCACTAGATTTAAGGATAAAATTTGTGATTTTATGATTATATGGTTCGTCAATGATTTTCTCCTATTCGTTTTGTTAAAGTAATAATAAAAATGGATTTTGTGCGGCGACTTTGTACCAATAATAAGAACCTAGTCATGGTCTTCGCGTGAGAAGTATCAATGTGTGTGTATATGCACAAACATGTATAAACAATGACACTTGAGTTTTTCTGTGAAGAACTCTGAATTAACAGCTGTATTATGTTCTCAAGGACAGCTTCAAATGTCAATATGCTTTTGTCTAAATAAATATACCTCACGGGGTTCTTGTGAAACATTTCGATTTTCTTTCTTTGGCAAATCTTTTTCTTTTGCTCTACCAAATTCACAATAAATAAATCATTTTCTATTATTATAAAATTGGTGGCAGACATAGAAAAAGGTGATGGTATAGTTATACTATTATTGTGTGTAGTACTAGTCTATTATTGCAACTTGCAAGCATAAAAAAAGAGATATATACCTAGTTTATATTCGATTAATCTGTTCCCTTTCCAATATCGAACTCTTGGCTAGGTGGTCCGTTTATGTTAGAAATATGCTGTTGACTAAACGCGCTTTGCATTAAGTTATTAGGGTTTATTTACTACTTAATGATATAGGAACGTCCTAAAGGCGACCATAGATGTTCCGGGGAGTGGGGAAGTGGAATTTCACTGCACTCATCTTGATCACTTGGATGAAAAATGGAGAATGAAGCAAGTCGATGCAATTATCCAATCTACCAACGTACCTCACATACTCGCTGGCGCTCTCAATTCCCTCGACGAATCCGATTATTCTCCGGAGAGATGGACCGATATAGTCAAGGTATCTCATAATCATATATAATACATTAGCAAAATAAATAACGTGTATACATGTACAAGTAATGAATCGGTCTATCTAGTAACTATATATATAACGTTGCTTTAGTATTACGAAGAGATGGGTAAGCCAACACCAAAAGCCCAAGTGATGAGGTTCTTGAAGAGCAAAGAATACACTGACGCTAAGGATTTTTCTGGAGAATGCGAATCTGTTGTAGTGGTCGCTAAAGGCCAGAGTAAGCACACTTTATTCTTAGACGCTGCTAGTTTTTCCTTGGCTATGACTCTAGTTTGCTGAGGAAAGATCTACTACATTATATATGACGTCAGGTGTACAAGGTACATGCAAGTACGGGACACGCGTGGACTACATACTGGCTTCCTCAGATTCGCCGTACCGGTTCGTGCCAGGGTCGTATTCGGTCTTGTCCTCTAAAGGAACATCGGATCATCACATAGTGAAGGTGGATGTTGTAAAAGCCAAATCCATCAACGTGGATGAGCAGCGCCCAAGAAGACAGACGCAGCAGAGAGTTACAAAGACTAACCCGTCTCTCGCAAAGGCCTCGTGGAAGACGCATTACTATAAAGCGTGAACAATCATTATTACACACAATGTTACAGGTTTTTTTGTTTGGACTGTTATATTAACACCATTTTGAGATATGTGTATAACCCTCGACGTCTCTGTGTTGTGTGCGTTTTTAACCGTAAATTTCTGATATACTTTCCCACAAATAATCCCGATTTTTCACATATTTTTGTTATCTCTAATGTTAAGACATGATGAGACTTAGGCTCTAGCTGGTGACCACTCGAGGAATAATAGGAATAAAGGAAAAAATGAATGGAAAAAATATACGAAACAAATTAAAAAAAAATTATTGTAGAGAGAGAATGGAACAAATTGCCATCGTAAATGGTAACAGAAAACGAATAAATATTTGAAATAATAAAAGAAAAGTTTCTACATAAAAAATGTATACCTTTTGTTTCTTGTCAAATTAGATGGAAAATACTTTTGTTCTATATTCCCTAATACTATTAAGAATGAAAAAGAATGACATGAAATATTTATTACATATAAATGGCAAAAAATTATTAGGAATAAATAAGAATGTTCCTCCTTATTCTTTATATTCCTAATGGTCACCATTTAGAGCCTTATTCAATCGAGACGTAATATTTATGAGTGAATATATATCACTCTTATTTATATTTGTAGTTTCTCAAAATGAGAGTAGCTTTCTTGCTTATACAAAATGGACGTAGAAGGAAAAATAAATAATCCAAGTTGGATAAGCATACAATGTATACAAAATCCGTTCGTGCAGAAGTCGGACGACATCAACTTCCTCTGAAATCTAACTAGGATCAGACCTGTGCAGAATTCGTGTTCCGTGCAGAATTCGGGCGAAATTCGGATCGTGCAAAATCTGGACAATTGCAGATCTACGAAAATTTCAGAGATTTCTAGATTTATGCAGATTCGGTTCGTGCAAGACCCGTGCAAAATCCGGTTTATGCTGAAACAACTGATGGAGCGGAAGTTTCTAGGGATACAACTAGATATGTTGATTCTGAGAATACCCGGAAATTAGGATTTGAGAGTCCTCCTCTCAGGGCTTTCGCAAAAGCTCTTAGTATTTGTGAATACTCTCCATAGTGGTTTATCAAAACCTCTTTAGAAATCTTTCGATTAATTAATTCATCAATAATAATAACTTAATACAATAGGAGTCTTAAAAAGACTATTTATAATAAAGCATAAAACCTGG